GATACAGCATCAATGTAAGGAGGTATAACAATAGGATTGTGTAAGTACGTCATTCGAACCATCACTCATGCATGTAATCATTCTTGCATAAAAAAAGGTTACGCGAGAGCGGAGTAAACAGAAAAAATTCCAATTTTGAGACGTTTCACAGCTGACTTAATGTTTATCAAATTTCCTGAAATTTTAATACATTGCACAAAAGAGTCCAAACTTTCATCTCTTTAAATGAACTTGGATTTTGAATCTGTCATTTTCTTTGCACAATCGGTTAAAAATGAGGCTTTTACAAACCGTTCTCCCTCTTTTTTAGGTTAATTTTTCTGATAGCTTTTACTGTTAGATAAGCCAGAAGATGCTAAAATACTTAGACGTAAGTATATTTTTGAGATATTTTGATAAAATGATAGTTTTTTGGACATTTTAAAATCTTCTAGTTTTTTCTGATACACCCTGTAGTGAGCATGTGTTGTAACAGCATTTTAAGGTGCAAGACATGCATTGACAGGTCGTATGAAGAAGAAGAAAGCAACTTCTGTCCTAACTGCGGTGTGAATCAAAACAAGACGCTCTTTCATATATCACTAAAAGGTTTTGATGATGGTCTTCTGGGGATGTCAAGACTAAATGAGTAAATCATGAAACTACTATCATCAGATCTCTAAACTGTTAGGTTCATATTTTTTAACAGTTAACATGTTTTAGTTAAAGGTGGAGAAAGGGAGCCTATCTGTTTGATAGTGTTCTTGTTATATCTTTAGTGTTTTGTGTTCATAATATTCAACCAATTCTGTCTATACAAGTTTTATTGGACTATCTTGCAGCTTGAAGAAACAGCGATTTCATTGGTCCATTTGAATTAATTAAATTAGACACTGCATTACTCGTTCAGGTGATTGAGAAATATATGTATGCCTAGAAAAATCAATTGAGGTAAGTGTTTGCAAACGAACGTGTTACACGTTCGACGGTACATCAACGAAGGGAACGACATGACCACAGCGCAGCAGTTTAGGGATGCCATAATGTCGTTGGGTGGTTTACCAGGCGTCAGGGTTGCCATAATTGATGCAGCCGGACTTTGTGACCCCCATGTAGAATGGGACGGCATCAGCCGCCAGAACAATTTCAAGTTAACCGATGCAAATATCACAGCGTGGGAAGCCTATGGTGTTGGAATTGGCAGGATAATGCAACAAGGCGTCACTTGGGGTTAGTATGTTCTAGTACAAAATTGGAAGCAGCGACCGGCTTTTCAAACAAATCCTATCCAAAATTGTCTCACAGTTTTATTCTTGCAAAATTACCTGTGTCGTTAATACAATTGCGAAAAAGTGGCAAGTACGCCAATGAGACGTTTCGTTTGAATAATATACCATTATTGCATATTGTCAGAGACTGTCTATATATATAGTTTAATATTGGTCATTCATTAACGAGATTAATCATTACTTTAATTAAGGATGATGGGAGGAATTATTACTTTAATTAGGAAGTGTGCGAAAGACCGCTGTTGTAACTGGGAGTGTCTCTTTTATCGAGGATATAACTTTTACAAAACCGAATTCGCTTCGTTGACTTTAGTTGTTTATCCTTTTAATAAGGGTAAATTTCACTGAAACCTCTGTTTACTTTGTCTGTTTCATTTGTTTTTCCATTAGAGCGCAGCCGCTCCAGGATACATTTGATGCTCCATTTACGCCTGGTGGTTTTGTGTGTAGCTTAGCCAAAAAGCATTGTAAGGAGACTGTATGTAGTAGTCCTTCACAAGAGGAGGATAATGTGGTAGATGGTTTGTTACTGTGCAGCAACGAAGGATGCGTGAAGGTCTACCAGACTCACACTGCCTTAGAGAACCACTTGCAATTCGGCACATGTGACCTCAGAGAAGAGAATGCCACCCTCATGGACAAGGCAAAAAAGCTTTATCACTACAAACTCGTTTAAGGCACTAGCAGCACAGTCTCAGTGAAGGAGAACGAGGAACGACAACCATCAAGAGATTCTTTGACGAAAGGCTGGGCACTCAAAAGCACGAGAACATTAAAGCGTTTTAACGAATCTCAACGATCCCACTTGGATGCAAAATTTTCAATTGGTCAAGAAACCGGCCACAACGTAGATCCCGAAATGCAATACGCCAAGAAGAAAGACGGAACAAGAATGTTTCAGGCAGGGGAGTTTCTAACTGAAACTCAGATCCGGGGCTATTTCTCAAGACAGGCGGCAAAACTGCGACATGGTTATGAGCCTCTCTCCTCCGCAGAGGCTGTTAGATACCAGAATTATTAAAAATAATACATGTGCAGGCGTATTACCTGGAATAATACATGTGCAGGCGTATTACCTGGAATTGTGTAGGCGCGCGGGCTTTAGGTAGGCGCGCGGGGTATCAAGGGAAGGGGGGGGGAAAATGAAATGAGCCTCTGCCAGATTTGGTGCGGTTTCTTGGAGCGATATGCGGGTTCTTGGAGTGATGGTATTTTAACATTATTTTGATGGCTGAAAGGCAAGACGAACTTAGTGATGATAGTGATATAGATGGCGTAGAATCGTTGATACACGACCTAAGTTTGGAAGGTTAGTGTGACAAATTTTTATACTTTTATTCTATATTTATTCTATACTTTTATTCTATATGTACTAGCTTTATTTTATAATAATTAATATATCCTTTAATTCAACAAATGAACATCTATAGAAGATCCAGAATGTCCAATTCCGAAGGCTAGTACACCGCAGAAGTCAATAAGACCTGATAAACGACAACTGACACCAAATTCCAAGTTGTTAAATCAGCCTCTGAGAAAAAAGCTCTTTCATACCTACGACTCTGATCAGCATGAGGATTCTGTGACTCCAGATGGTAAGCTGATAAATAGTTTGACAATTTTTGGTGTTAAATTTAAGGGCCTATTTAAAGAGTATATTCAGTAGTATTTTGTGCATAATATATCAGTAATTTACTTGTTATTGTGGTTATTGTAAACATATTTCCAGCAATGACCATCCCCCCTGGATTATTCACCGTCAGTCAATGGTTTGACCCAGGGGGGTATCGGGCATGACTGTGGGATTTGACACTATGAAATTTTGGACAAATTCCCCACCGTGGGGCTTGGTTTTCATGTCAAATTTCCCCACTCATAGGCTGAAAATTATCTTAAAATACTACAAATATGCATGTATTTTAGAAAGAATCATTCACCTCTTGACAATCTTTAAAATCTTGCTGTAAAATGTGAAAAAATCCAATATTTATTTCCCACTCATATTTCCAATGACCACAAAACCTATTTTTCACTCACTTGTCTCCAATTCCCATGCAGCGAGACATGACAATGTCCTGGACCCTCAGGTCGCTGGTACTCTTGTCATTGTCAAATTCCCCACCCAGGAGTAACAGTCGTAACAGACCATTGTTAAACCCTGTGAGCATGCCCGATACCCCCCCTAGGGGCAAACGATTGACTGGTGCATTACACATGCATTTTGTATTTTATAGTTCTTTAATACACAATGTTATGGGATTAAGGTATAAGTGGCATACTGTACAAATTACATGGCTGCCAATATAATATGTGGACCATGGTCATAATTAATATAGCTAGATCAAAGGGTGGGCATTACCATGTCAATGCGACAATGAGGTTGTAATGCTATCACAAACTATTGCTTGCAATCAATTTCCACAATACAATCATTTAAATATTTTATTAATCATGATCACTGATGACATTTTGTGAATGTTTTAAACAAATATTTCATGTGACATGCCACCTAACCCGAGTAGATGTTAGCTAGGAATTAACTGCCTACTATCACTTTTTCAGCTACCTTCACAGTAATATATACTTACAGTATTCTGTATGATGACTATGACAATATAGTCTGTATAAAAGATGGATAAATTCCAGTGTATAAAGGAGCATTCATAATTTATGTGGTGAGGGGCTATGAGGATTTTGAAATATTTTTTGGCAAGCCCCCTCCCCTCCATACCTGCCATATTTTTGGTGACCCCCCAAACAACAGACATTCAATGGTTACAAAAAAATCATGACCCCCCTCTCCCAAAAAAAACTTTTGAATTAAATGTATATATTGTAGAGTATATAGACTTCAAGTAACAATATCTTTGATACTCATCTATATATTAGTGTTGCACAACCGTTGAGAATCAACCCTTTGGAAGGGGGGGGGACAGCTGCTGCCAGTTGATTTGATTTGGGCAATTTTTTGGCAAAACTAATAATACAGAGGCCAATGTACATTGTATGTTAAAGAAGCAACCTTATTATACCAAAAACAATTGATGGGGGGGGGGGGGTAGAGCCTATGCAGTAGGGCAAATTCATACTGCCCCTGAAAATTTGTCTGCCCGTACACCTAATGAGGGGACTGTTCATAATGCATGCAGCATATTTTTATTGACCCCCCCCCCAAACTGCTAACTTTGAATCCTAATTGAATAAACATTGGAGCTGTGTGGGTTCAGCATCTATTCAAGGAGATGTTTGTTGTAAATTTTGTAATAACTCTCAATTTACTGGTTAATTCAATTTAGCAATTAATTAATGCAAATAGTATTCTATTCACAATGCTCTCACTTGTCCCTTTGTTTTAAGTATGGGAGGATTGATTGAGCGCTCAGATACTCATAAATTTGAGTACATCCAGTGATCCAGGATCACCACGAATTTTCAGTAATCGGGTTGGTTGGGTGGGTGGGTCGCCGCCGCCGCTATCTCTCCCTGGGCACTCGATCAAATTTGAAGTAGGAATGCAGTGAGATTCTCCTTATTTATAGCTACCAGGTCCCCATAGGGCTTATACACGTCACCTAAATACATTATGCATGATAATCTGTGCTATTTTATTCTCGTGCTTTGTTCTGAGCATTGTGAATATATGCCGCATCTAAGAGAAAAGGGCGGCAGTATTCAAGTAAATACAATATCTACCACCATGATTTTTGCTGAACAGAGATTGCACTTACTACATATGTCGATAAATTTCTAGGGCTGCAAAATTATTTCTCCTAAAGGATGTACTGTACATGTTGTTTGAAAACTTCAATATGCTTATTTCTGATATTTTCTGTTTTTCATTTATAATGCATGTACATAGTATATGCTATAGAGTTGAACAATATATCTGTACTGTATCTTATGTTTTTTCAGAGAGTTGTAGTATATAAAGTAATGACCACATTTAAACCATTATAGAAATATTGCTTCTATTTTCATGATGAAAATTACATTGTTATTTGTTTTCATTTCCTTATATTTGTTGTCTTTAATTTACATAAATGTGTAGGGAAAGAAACTGTGAACTCGAAAGTTGGCACAGCGAAACCTACCAGTAATTTTTATAAAGACAGGAGAGACAATTACGTGAAACGTCTTCTAGAGCACTTTGAAGAAGAAGAAAATTCTGAAATACCACAACAAATAATTCTGGAAGTACTGCAATTGGACGAAGCATATAAAGCTCAGGCAACCAATGCTGTAAGGCAGGCGTTCCCCAAATCATTCGTTAGAAGAAAGGGGAAAGAGCGTGCGACAGTTTATGCTGGTGTCTCAAAGAAACATGCTTTTACGTCATCTTGTAGTCACTCATCAGCCACGTTATCAGAAGATAATACAGATATTGCTAACTTAAAGCTAGTCATTGCTAGCGTTTCAAGTGAACTAGATGAAGTGACTCAACGTATTGCTTGTCAAGTAGCCGCTGATGAAATAAAGAAAGATGTTATTCAAATTTTGGTTGACATGCAACGGAAATTGCAGTTGAAAGTTAGGCAACTGTCAAGTGATCTAGACAGGTTATATGATCGTGAAATACAGCGGCTAATAGATTCTCCGTCCCATTCCAATGCCATATGTTCAAAAGATAAAGAAAAACTTAACAATGAACTAGAAACCTTCACTACATTTCTCAACATTGGCCTTGAAACTGAGAGTTTGGAAGTAATCAATTTTCAGAATATGTTTACGGTATTGCCTAACAAAGTGCGAGAGAATTGTCCAATTCTTTTTGATGTGCTGGACGCACTATTTCTCCATAAAACGGATGGTAGAAATGTATCAGAGAAGCGTGTAAAAAGTGCTGTGCACTCCTTAGCTTTGTTGATCAGTTTAAGAAGTCAGAAAATTAAAAACGATCTTAAAATCATGTTCACTTGCCTCTGCATTTCGTTTGGAGCTGGACTCCGGTTTATTACAACTCTGAATAAGTTAGGCCTAACCGTTAGCTGGGATAAAGCAATGAGCTTTTTTGACAGTCGTAAAGCTAAACAGCAAGAGGCAATCAAGCAGATGACACCACTTGAGAAGCCTGTTATCCTTATGTTTGACAATGTGAATATGTACAGGGGCAAACACAAACACTTACGTCTATTTAAATCTGCTGGGCCTGTGATGTGGAACTTTACATGTCAAGCAGTTCTCGTACCGAATACCGAGGGTTTAGAAGAGATTCTACATAACAAACATGATTGCGTAGAGCCACAAAGGTCAGCGCTAGAAATGAATGCAGAACAGTTATTTATTGAAAATGACCAGGAGAAGAAAGAGCTGTTTACACAAGCTGTTGACTGGTATCTTCTAGACTTACTCGATACTGCATTAAACAGAATCCCTGTTAGTGAGAAAAAGCTAAAAGATATGACCGAGCAGCAAGTAAATTATTACCTGGCCAAGTCGGACTTTGAAACATCTACTACAAAGTACAATATAGACATTCCCAATCAAAGTAAACTTGTGAAACAGGGCAATTTGAATCACAAAAGCGATGTACATGTTCTTCCTTTGTCACTTGAAAACAACAGCACAATTGTTGGAACAATGAGCATTCTGGATCAACTTGCCACAGATTTCTCTCTACCTAATGACAAGAAAGGCTCTCAATATATCCCTTTTGATTCTATTTCCAAAACATTTGATGTTAAATTGGCAAGAAACCACTACGAAATAATTCTCAGCCAACAGAACCACCAAAGCTATATGAGAGCGTTAGAAATCCATTTACATTCAAAGGAGAAGGAACTTGCTAATGCAAATGAAGATTGCACGGAACAAGACGAAGAAACTTCAAGCCAACAAGAATCCACCGATCCTTCATTTACTGAAACAACTTTGCAGAGTGAACGGCGCCAATTTGATAATGAAGATAAGCCATTTTGGGACACGTATAACCGTATTTGTTCAAAGTTGTCAGATATATCAACATCAAACAGTGAAGAGAATTACTTGCAGTTTGTTAACAGTTATGATAAGCATATCTTGAACATTAAAGACCATTTAAGAAGAAGTCTATTGCACGCCGCTGTTGAGCAAGGACAAGAAAATCTTGTAAAATGTTTCGTCGATATGGGTATTAATGTCAATTCCAAAGAAGGTTGTGGAATGACACCTCTCAATCTCGCTGTCTTGCACAAGAATGTCAGTTTGTGTAAATTCCTTCTTGAATCGGGGGCAAAACACAGTGGGCCACTGTTTACAAGCATCCCATCTCCTATGTACATGGCTGATACCTTAAATATTGAACAAATTAAGGAACTATTTAACGAAGATCAAGATCTATCAGAAGATGAAGATCGACTAATTCGCCAAACTGCTGGGTTATGTATAAAGGAAACGGATAATTGCGACTCAACATTGTCAACTGAAAACAATGACAGCGACATAAATCGTTCCTGCCATGGCTTTGTAACTCCAGTTGTTGGGGATGTAGGTACATGTAAAACTAACAACGCGGCTATGACACGGTCTGCTGCTTACAGGTGGATTGGTATTTGTCCTGGTGACCTACATAACAAAGGTTACTATTGCGAGGCAGTGTTTAAAGTTCACGGATCCAGTGGTCTGCACTACATTTTATGCGAGATCATGAAGAGAAAGAAATTAACGGTGCATGCGTTTAAGAAAAAAAAGTTTCAAGAAGGTAATCTTATTCATATTAGAGAAGCGATACGTGACGTATGCAAGGCATATGGAATGGCTGCAGTATTGGAATTTGTAGAAAGCAGTTATTTTCCTGAACAGAGTGAACCGTTTGACACAGAACATTTTACGTCATTGATCCTTGCCAGGTTTAAAGAGTGGATTTCAGAATCATCGTCGGATCTTGCTTTCCAACACAGAGCTAGTGCATTCTTATTATACGGCCCACTTCAAATGTTGTATGATCTCGCCACATCGTATGGTGATGGAAACGCCCGCGAAATTGTGTTCCAGTTGCAAATACCCATTTATACTCAGCTTGGCTTCACTAATTACTCCACTGAAGTTTTACGACATGTGATCAATTTCCTCGTCAAATGGCCGTTAGCAACCAGAAAATTGTTGCAACAGAATTGTTCAGTAAACCTCAGTGGAAAGGAAGGCCATGGTATCGAGTTAGATGCTTTCGTTGAATCTGAGGTAGTTCAGCCGTTAAAGAACTATACAACTGGTCATACAACTGTTACTATGTGCAGGAGAATCATGGCCAATATAGATCTTCTGAAGTATGTGAGAGGATCTTACATGGGAAAGGAGGGATTTGACATTCACCACACGTCACGTCATTCCGAGCAAACACCTTTGCCTGATCAAGTCAAAGGGGCTTGGTTTTGTTTACAAAAAGGTTTCTTCAAGAATGCCAACCGAAAAGAAGTAGAATGTTATCCACTTGACCAGAAGGGCTGTGCATTTGGCAAGGTACCGCAAAACGTGTTAAATGTTGTTGAAAAGGGAAAGAAGAAGATCGGTGAGCGTTTTACGGCAAAATTGTACGAGTGCTTCCCTGATTTACGGTATGATATTCTGTCCTAAGTGATTAACATGAAATAACTATCGCTCTTAAACTCGCTCAAAAACACACCATCTTTCCGAAAATCAAAAACTATATTCTGTTGAGTTATTTTTACATAACAAGACATGATCAAACTACGATATTCCATCCGTAGATGTTTTAGAAAGCTTGGGGTGGGACAAACTTGACAAAAGACGCTCTCAAAACAAAGCACTTTTAATTTATAAGATATTAAATGGCCACACCGCTGCGAATCTCTTTTATTAAAAATCTGTTTAATAAAAGAACGAATACCAAACTTCATATAATTTGGGAAATATTTAACCGGATGTTTGAAACAGAATATTTGAAACAAACATTAGCGTATAGTGGGGCCAAATGGAATAGCCTCCCAATAAATTTAAAGTGCATCATGTTTTAAAAATTTAAAGTGCAGTGACTGAAGGTGCATCATGTTTTAAAAATATGCTTTCATTCCATGATATGGATTGTGTCTGATAGACTTTACCGATTATTCACTTTTCACCCAGTGGTCTCGTTTTCATGTCGGGTATTTACTCGCAGTTCGTGCACAATAGGGTTAAAAATATAAGCATTTCATTTTAGGATGAAATTGCCAGCCCCCCCTCCCCTGCCTTGTACCATACCTCGACTATACCAACAGATTAACAATGTTTCTTCCTAAAATTTCTCCATTTTCCTACTCTCACCTAGTCTTATTATATAAGACTTTGCATCTACCATTTGTTAAATCAGTAACATTTGCACATGTTAGGTATGTTACTGACATAATGTCTTCTGTTTCTCTTACATTCTCATTTATAAATCCTTGGTGAATCAAGTGTTGTATAAATCTTCTCATGTTGGACATGTTTCCAAAGTCGCCTTTGCCTTTTTTATACTGTGAAACAGTATGAAAATTCTTAGTCACAATCTCTTTGGCTCTTGACCCCATATAAGTCATAACTAATTCAGAAAGTTTAACTTTTGGTTGCAAAACAATTAAACTGGTGAGGCATTGGATAACACTTATTGCATGTATTGTGCAATCACTTTTCTGCTGTTCATAAGACATGCACTTTTGGCAAATGTCACAAGTATTGCAAGGTTCCCCTGAAGGTTCTTGGAAATAATTGGCCAGAAATTCTTGTCTACACTGTTGGTCTTGGAGGCAAAATTCTGTTATGCTATTCAGTTGCAAAAGCTTGGCAGAACTTGTAGCTGTAAGAGAGATGTTGCGAAGGTGGAATGATCTGTCCTCGAAACGGAAAAGCAACACACATGTACATGTATAACCATCACGACCACCCCTTCCAGATTCTTGTGCAAAATCTTCCAATGATGAAGGCATCGTCAAATGTATCACAAATCGAACACCTTTTTTATCTATACCCATCCCAAATGCATTAGTGCAACAAATCACATGCACTTTATCTTCTAGCCACAAGGTAGCATTTGCCATTCGATCTCTGCTGTCCATTCCTGCATGGTAAAATGTAGCAGAAATACCATGACTCTTCAGTTCAAAAGCCATTTCAACAGCATCAGCTTGTCTTGCACAATAAATTATACCACATGAATTGTTAAATTCCCCCAAGATCAATTCACACACTTGATTCTTTGCTTTAGTTTCTTTCTTTGGAATGACAGAAAATGATAAATTATTTCGTCTACAACTCATTTTCACAACAGTGTGCTTTGGCATACGTAGTACTTCAGCAATTGTCACTAATGTTTTATTTGTTGCTGTTGCAGTGAGAGCAACAATTGGTACACCATAATTCTTCAGGATACCCAACTGCTGATAAGCTGGGCGAAAGTTGCACCCCCATGTGTCCACACAATGTGCTTCATCAATTATAAATAGGTTAATTTTTTTCTTTTGAGATAAGTTGTGTAAACAGCTTTGAAACTGAGAACTTGTGGCAGCTTCTGGACTTATAAACACAAACTGATATTGACAATCTGGTTGCACAAGGTTGTGAATAATGTTTTGTCGTTCATTGTCACTTAGCATTGTATTATAGTAACAAGCATTAATACCAAGACGTCGTAGTCTGGCCACCTGGTCACACATTAGCATCATTAAAGGACATATAACCACAGCCATACCTAGAAGTAGTAGTAGTAAAAAAGAATATTTCAAGTAAAGATAGATTAAACCTTTTTACATTTACTAGCAAAGCTTGTTGAGTTTTTGTACTTTATTGTATGTTCTGGTTCTCTATTAAACACTCTCTCTGGAAGTAGTCTTTATAACCTAACTCATACAACTTATACAATATGTTAGAAATGTACAGGGTGAGGGTGTCCCAAAGAAAGGAAACCATTTGAAATTGAATACCATAGTTAACTCTTTCAAACAGCCTAACTTTATTGGTACACCCTGAACAGTATATAGTGTGTTCCACACTGTGAACAATTAATCCAGATAGGGTACAATGGGTTGTTGTTTGAAAAAATGCTAATTTCAAAGCATTTACTTTTTAGTTACATCCTGTTAAAAATTAAAAGAGCAAGTTAATAAATTGTACATTAACATGCTGCAGCAATAGATATTTTACTTACAACTGACACAAAGTCTTCAACATGGTTAGTGAAATTCAGCATATTAAGAAAGTGTTAATGATAATACCTGGCAAAATCAGACTTGGTATTGCATAAATGACTGTTTTCCCACCTCCAGTTGGCATAACAACAATAACATCCTCTCCCGAGACAATGTGTTCAATCGATTCAAGTTGTTTGGGCCGAAAGTCTTCATATCCAAAAACAGATCTCAAAACTTCCAGTGGGGTTTTAAAAAGACTAAACTTTCCAACTGAATTTGCCATAACTGGTTGTGGTTGCTGGAGTGGTTGAGTTCTGTCACTGTTGAGTAAATTCATCTACATAAAATATATCGATTTACATTAATCGACAGGTGTAAAATTATTAACTGGTGTACTTATTAATCAACTGAAGCATCATTGTTTGTTGTTTTACATTGCTATAATGCCAGGTAGGTTATAACCTCTTTAACAAATTAATCTGCCCATTTCAATTGCTTGTCAAAGGGAGAGTCTTGCCACTTCATGATTATAACCTGTTAAGGTGCCAGGATCTTTTATCATCTGACCTGGTGTGACAGTAAATTTGCAAACTGCAGCATAATGATCGAAGTAGATAATATTGCAAGTTTACAATGTCATTGGCAGGTGGTATTGTTAAACCTTTGGGCCCAAATGTGCCCATACTTTATTATTCATTTATTATTTACATACTCACCTTATTGCCAGGTATGAAACATTCAACATATATTTTATCATCATTGCCCCAGACTTTATACGACTGTCCTCGTTTGTCGCATTTGTATGGTTTCACAGTGATTATACAAGGCACACATCCCAGAGGCTTTAGGATCCCTTGATCTTTTAGTACCAAGCCATATAATTTTGTCGCTTCTCGTTCATTTCTTGCCACAATATCCATCGATGCTTCGCTTGACACTGTCTGATTGGTCTCATATGTTACAGTAAACATAGAATAACAATGGGATGCACTGTTATCCTAGACATAAATAAAATAAATTGAATATTTTCAGTGTCATGTAAAACTTATTAAATTAAATGATAATTTCATAAAGTTAACATCTTTATATTAAAACTTAAATAGTGTTCAATAATATATTGGAATTCATGAAGTAAATTTTATCTTTATAAGTAATAGCATACATAGAACTAACCTTCTGCTGCTGTAAACGAAGGGCAGATAATTGCTCTACAACCTTGGCAGTCTCTTGCCCATGCAGTTGTTCGAAAAGTTCCTTGCACTTCCTCTGCATTTCATCGTCAACAGCAATGCTACGGTGCATGCTTCGAAAATGCTGTATAATCCCACTCTCGGCAAGAAAGAAATTCACAGTACCAGCCTCAACGCCATGACCTTCGTAGCACAATAAACAGATAGTTTTGGAATGTTGGTGGGCGTTTTGAAATGGTCTATTTGATATGCAAATATCAGAAATTAATCCTTCCGGCTCCATTTTGACTATTAAATTAGAAGATGATTCTGAGTTTGCCCCACTCCCTCACGGAATTTTGGCGCCATATTGAAAACAAAATCTGGCAGAGGCTTCATTTTTTCCCCCCTTCCCTTGATACCCCGCGCGAAGCCTGCGCGCCTACACATTTCCAGGTAATACGCCTGCACATGTATTATTTTTAATAATTCTGGTATCTAACAGCCTCTGCGGAGGAGAGAGGTTATGAGCCAGACAGTGATGACGAGGCGGCAGTTGAGGAGGAGACAAACTACAGCACAACGAGGGATCTCTTGGCCCAGGATATTGGAATACAGCATCCACTGACCTATCACCAGTACAATCTGTGCAGAATGTTCTGCGACAACAAACTCAACAAGCTAAGTATCAAGCTACTTCAGGACATATCTGCAAGCATGGACATAGACACAAGTAGCATAACCACACACCGTAAGGCGCCTTACATAGCCTTGTTGTCAGAAGCAATCCAACAGTGCAGTTGTCAAAAATAGATAATTTTACTCAGCTACTTTATACAAGATAATTTCTGTACTGTATCAACCAATTGAATGTGGTGGTTTATTAATTTTTGTTCAAGCGTTCACATATCAGATTGACGGTGTCCAGTGCCAGTGGTCACACTGTAATTGTGAATGCAGTAGTGACCTGAACCATGGATACTTTGCATCTATTTTTCCCAATTGTTGTTGGAAAGCTTGTCAACAATACTTTTGAAGGTTATGAACTGATGGCCTGTTTTTTATGTTTTGTATTCGCTTAGATGACACGGCACAGGCCATAAGCTCTATACGCTTACGGGGTAGTGAAAGCATCTTTATCGCTAATTGTCACCATATGTCTTATAAAATACATATTGCAATAGTGCAAAACAAAAAGTGAACCTTACCGGCTTTGGTACGCAGCCCACAAAGGTAGTTTGCGGCGACAAGCTCGGGTAACTGTGCAAGTCACTGCAGTTATTTGATTGTTTGCAATATTTTTGCCAAACATTGTGTTTCACAATTCGCACCACAAATCTCTTCCAAAATAATATTTTCCCAGCAATTTAATTGTCGATCGATGATTCTAAAACAACTTAATATGTGACTTTGGAAAGTACCAAAATATTTTGAACTTTGAAGACTACTAAGTAAAGTTAATGTTGAACTGTCTAACAGTAAATTGGTAATATATTTCAAAGTCTCAAGCCTCAGACCTGGGTAAAATGTGCAAGTTATTCAAATATTGATACTATTATTCACCACATTAAATTGTTTATGAATTATTTTAACTCTGGATGTCATTTTGTCTGTTATTTCTACGGAGAAAATAAACTTTTAGCAAAATACAGTGTGTTTAACCGCTCTCAGCGGCTGTGTGTCAAAGGTCATCTTAAAGGTCATCTGTCACGCTCAAGTGGTCGTATTTCATCCCGTTTCAACGGCGCAAATTTAAAGTTCCCAAAAAACATTTGGCGTCATTCTAGAGGCCATGAGTTACTCTTTTTTGAAAACAGAAAACTTTCCAAAAAAACATGTATCATGCTGGATTTATCGCGCTCGAAAATTGCTTAAATCGGGTGTCATGAAATGTCCGACAGGAAGATTAAATTTCAAAAACCTGTCAAAAATTCTACTTTAATTCGATTGCTTTGAAAATCAGCAGAAAGCGCAAGTATTTCCCTACCTTTAATGTGATATATTTGGTTTGGCGAACAATGCTGTGTTTCCCCGTCACATTGCACTGAAGCGCAGCCATATTTTCCTACCTATTTTCTTGGTCTGAGAGCCTCTCCTCAAAGACGAGCTCCCCCCAACCTCAATTCGTTCAATCTTAGAATTATTTTTCGTTAATAAGCGACCCATAATGATTATTCTGAAAAAAATTCAGAATTTTCGATTTTTTTATTTTGCATGACTTCGGTTGATATTTAAGTGGAGCCGCTCTTAAAGTGTTGCAAATGCTGCAAGCGCTGCAAATGCTTCAACCGTTGCAAATGCTGCAAGCGCTGTGGTTTGACACAAAACACGCAATTAGTTGTGGGAGAAAGGGTTACGAGGGAGAAGTGCTCCTCCAAATGTAATGTAGATAAGGTTGAAGTTGCCTCTTAGACTTGTCACAGCTTTATGGATGTACTTTATGGTACAATTAATTATGTAGTTTATGGTACAATTATTTATCCTCAGGGGTTTAACAGCTGCTCCCCAGTATTAGACTTCAGGGGTCATAGCTCTTCTGATAGGTATCCTAAATGTCCAAAGGGGTTGTGGATCCCCATGATGGTCATTGTTTACTTAAGTATAGACAAGAATGCATGTAGATTTACGTGAGTCTATGGGGTAGAGGGTGACCTTTGGAAGAACTCCATGCCCACAAATACGCAACATGCGTATTCCCAATAGATGAACCCCCCTGAAAAAATTTTGTGTACACAATACATAGATTAGTTCAAATCTTAGCAAGTTGTGGCCGAGACATTTGACAATGTTGAAGACGAAGTTTGAATATAGCCTTCGTAACAATCCGAAGACCAACGACCCAGTGTTTTTATAAGCCAAGAGGGTAAGCTGGCTGAAGCGGCAGTTGTAGTAGCGCCAATGCGGTAGCTGTGACCGGTGAAATTAGAAGCAGCGAAACCTGCTTGTGAAAGCAATTTCTGGGTTTACGAGGTAAGTATTTGCTTCGAAAGTGGTCTTCCCGAAGCATTCAGAAATGAGGTCGAATCGTTGTTGCCGGTCTGATGGCTAAATATCGCTGCATTGCCTGAACCGGACAGAGTGGTGTGTTTGTACGACAGACTTATAGTGTGACATACGCGAAAAGGATCGGTTTTCGATTCTTTCAGTCAAACAAACATTGTTGCTATTGATCGTATTGCATTAGAAAAGGAAATGTCTTCAGGCATTAGATTAGCCTCGTGGTTGAAGGTTGCGTTGCACATAAGCTCGCCCAGCCTTAAAAAGCCAAAAAATGCCAAGCTCATGGCCGCTGCAAACTCGTATGTTATCTCCTTGTGAGCATTTTATGCCTCTAAGGACCAACTGAAGGCGCAACATCTTGTTGACCTCTAACTTAAAGCCATTGCGGATATGAAAGTGCCAAACCGCTGCAAGGTAATTTTTGATTGACGAGTATTTCATGGTTTTAGCTAGGTAAGCGGAAAACTGCATTAAGGTGTCTTCGCTGGCGGGTAAGGGATGTATGACCCCATTGGGTTGGTATAATTGAACAAAATTGATAAAACGCTTTTCACCCGCACTGTATGTCTGTTTGGTTGGAGCAGGCCAGGGACAATTGAACATAGTATTGGATATCATCTTTCAAAGTTGTAACAGGCAGTCTGGAATTTTGTGTAGAATTGCCTCCACCTGAAGTCTTGAAATCATTTGAGCTGAAAACAAGAAAGGGAATCGGCTACTTAATTGAATTTACCCAGTATGTGCTTAGCCCTAATGTATACATTGTGTTGCAATGCTAAAAGGGTGAGGTGTCTGAGAAGATCCATTACCCTTGAAATGCGCGAGCGCTTGGAATTGATTATGCTAACAACAGACTCATTGTCGTAATGGAGTATTATGTGTACACGAACCGCATTCTTCTGAATGCAAGAGCAGTCAGATGCCTGTTCTACCAAAATAATTGAAGAGGTGATTTGTTCTCTTCTGTAGAGATATTGTGATTATTGTGGACAGCAATAAATTGATTTAGTGAATTGCTTAATCGTGGCAGATAAGCATATTGAAGACAGAACAAGTCCGTACAGTTTGATGGATCTAGCAGTCCCTCCCTTTCTAAACTGTAAAATGTCATTTTTGAAAGTACTGACAACTTGTTCATTTACTGCTCTGTTGTGGCATTCTATTTGTTGGTTGTGAACTGAACTTCCTACAATGACTGGACGCGAGTCTGCTCCATGGGTTTCCACCATATACCTCCAAATTTCAACATTTTCACCGCTGTGATCTGTGCGTAGTCTAACTGGATGACCATACCTTTCGACAGCTCCCTGAAAAACTTGCAGAACAGTTGCTGCACGATTATTAGTTGAAAACTTGCCAAATGTAACTAAACCACTAAATCCATCAATCCCATGGTGAAGTACAAATCTCCAGTGTATTAATTTGTCATTCCCATCTACGTGCCATTAGGAATTTGGACATGGGACAGAATACACGCGCCGCCGAATTCGCAGACGCTGTCTTACTCGAACACCTTGAGGATCAACATCCATAATTGTTGCACATATTCTGCTCCTCTGCACATTTATACCTTGAGATCGCAAATGGCCCTGCATCATTACCTTGCCTGAGTTTGGAAAATCTTGATTAATTGCCGTTTCAGCATGTCTTAGATGTTCATCTGAGTGATCCGTAAATTGTCCTAGGTAGGAAATGTTATGTTCCTTCATAACAGTGTATGTAGTTGGCCGTGAAATACCAAGTGTCCGAGCTAGCTCACTTATTGGCTACTGAAGAGACGACAGGCTTTCAAGTTGTTCTGTGAATATAATCTTTTTTGGCCTACGAATAATAGCAGGAGCACTGTAAAAAACAAAGCAGTTAAAAATTAAAATTACTTACTGGTTTATAGAGCGCTGACCAACTAACAAATTAATTGCAAGTTTTCTCTTGGAATTGGCCTTGGTATTACAAAGTAAAATAATAGCACAGGGGACACCAAGTGTTGGATACCCAGTAAAATGGTGTAGCAAGTCTTTAAGGAACTGAATTACCACAGAGCAAGTTTTCCTGTACCCAAATTTGCTTTAGGCTTCTTTTGTACATACCTAACACTTAAAGCAACTTCATTTTCAACACTTGTTTGACTCTATGACATCTCCCTATTAAAACATATGGCACCAATTTAAATTTTTCAATGTTGACCTTTTATTCAACAACTTCCAGTGACCCTGAAA